CCCTATTCCAGGATGACCTCACCTTAATTTGATCACATTTGCAAGGATCCTGTTTCCAGATATGGTCACATTCACAGCTAGTGGAGAATAAGACTTGAACACATCTTTTGGGGGCACACAATTCAATCCACTATATCAGAGGTCTTAGGGGGCAGGAAGAAGAACAGCCCTGTGGCTACCTAGAATAGTGCCCTCAAGGAAACCTGCAAAGACTGTCTTTATTACAACTAAGGAAGTATCTCCCTACTGAAGATGAGCACACCCTCTATACTTCTTCCTAGTAGATTGGCATTACCTACTCTCCTGCCCACACTTCTGCCTCATGTCCCTGGCCAGTGTCACCATACCTTGGGAGCAGAGGAGTAAGAGGTTTGGTGAGAAACACCACAAATCCCAAAGTCAGACACCTCCCCTCCTATTTGGGGGGATATTCTCCAGGGCCCCCTGCTGCTGGTATTCTTAGGAACTTCAGAGAGTCACACCCACTACCATAGTTTCCGCAAGTACTTCAGCATGAGATCAGATGAAGGTGCCAGGAGCCAAGATGAGAAAAGGATAAGCACCTCTCATTTAAGAACTGACCCAGAGCCCTTCTAATGAGGAAGCATAGTACAGTTGACAGTGCAATTCCTGCTGCCCAAGTATAAAATAAAAGACTCACTACAAAAGCAAACGTGTTAAAGATTGTCAACAAAAAGCATAAGTACTACCTCCCTGAAATTTTCACAAGTACTTCAAGCTGATTTTTGGCATGAATGTAGAAAAACCAACCCCAGAAGTCATTCCTATGCCTTTGTCAGCAAGTTGGACATAACCCACAAAGGGAGTTTGACTAGTGACAGGGAAATGCAAACACTGGACTCTTGATGCCTCTCCTGGGTTCGATCTCCATGAATGACAGTTATGCCACTGAGGAGGAGATCCTTGGATTCCTGAAGAGTGTAGGGGAATATGTTGGGAGGAGGCATTTAATTTGGGGGGAGCCCAAGAAACTCCCCACCAGAGATTTGATGCAGGGAAAATGCCTGGAGTAGGGGCAGATGACCAGAAGTGATCCTCTCTGCTGTGATCTTTGGGGTCCAAGAGCCTGGTTGAAACCTGCAAGATGAAAATCCTGGAAGTTTTGGCCAAGGTCAACATTGCTGTCCCAGTGCCTTCCAGTCCTGGTATGAAGAGGCTAGGAGAGATGAGAAAGAGAGCTTGAGCAAGAGTTGCAGCTAGGACTGGCACTACTGCCATGGTCAGTTCAAATTCCAGGGCTATGTCAGTAGCTTTTCCTGGCTCTGGTGAAGTCTGAGGCAGATTCTTCATGTGGATGAAGAATGAATCTTCTTAGTAATGGAGGGCCAAAGTGGGGCTGTAGGTATCTCTGTGTTCCTGTTCTGTGTAGAGAACTTTGTGATTTACCTTTTATCTTTGTTTTTTAATGCTGTCTTTGTTATAGAAATTTTATTTAGCATCAGAATCTAAGTTTATGAATGACATAGATCACAGGTTTGTTGCTGTTTATCAGGCTTAAGAGTCTTGGTATTTTCTTGGAAATAAGAAAAAAATCACATAGTGAAATAATTAGGATCACAAAATAGAAGGGAAATAAAATAGTTAATTATTGTTTTTTTTATATTTTAGTATTTCTTTTAGTAAAAGTAAAGACACAGATGTGCTTAGCTTATTCAAGAATATAGGAGAAATAAAACCATAGTTAATTAACCTTTAGGTCATAAGCCCTTTCATCCTTCAGACATTATTAGGCATCTGTTCTTTGGAAGCCTCCTTATTAGTATAAGGAATGCTAAAATAAAGTTGGTCCAACCCTTGCCCATGGTACTCTAGAGTCTAGGAACAGCTTTCACATGATGAAGTTGGTGAAACACTGCACAAATCAAATAGAACAAACAAAAGGAAGGAGTTAAGCAGGATGGGCTGCAGATGAGAACAGTCAAATATAAATCTCAGAAAGGAAGAATGTTTGAGGTTTTGGACCTGACTGTTTCTTCAGTGGGAGGTATTTTTTAAGTTAAGTTGGATAGTGGGCTAGATGAGGCTGTCAGTGTTGTGAGTAGAAGCCAGACACTCATATGTATCTTAGAGTTGAGAGACTAAGCCTGAAATGAAAAACTGTTCATAACAGTTATTTTGATATTTTAGGTAAGCCAGAGAGAACTTCTACTTGTGACAGTAACGGAAGGTGGCCTGTACTTTGTCCCAGTGCAGTTGAATCTGGTATAAAAACTAGGTGTTTTATGTATATTGTGTATAGAGAGTTTCTGTGGGAAAAAGTCTGTGACTTGATTGAGGTACGATGTGAAAAAGATGCTGGGCCTGCAGTCTTTGTCTTTGGGCTGAGAACTAGAGCCTACTCCATTAAAAAGGGCATTTGAATTGTTATCTTGAATATAATTTGTAAGTCTACAAATTTTCTGCTTGTGGTGGAATGAATGAAAATAGGTGTGGTTTGGATGGAATGGCAGCTGGGAGGAGTAGAAGAAGGTGGCCCTTTACACAAATTTCAGGAGCTGTGAATTGTATCCAAATGGAGAAGACTCTTCAGCACTCAAATAATATTTTACTGAATGAAAGTCCATGTGCCCAACACACACAGTGAGGCCAAACAACACCAAAAGGTTGGAGTCTGGAGCAGAGAAAGGCTTATTGCAGGGCCTTGAACAGAAATGGGTGGCTCATGCCTTAAAAATCCAGAACTCACGGTCTGTCAGATCACACAATCTTCCTGTAAATTCCAACTGCACAAATGTTATTTTCTGGTTAGGTCATGGTCAGGTTATCCTGTATATTTCAAGCTATAGGCAATATTCTTTTAAAGAAGGTGCAGAGCCAGCATGACTAAGCACAGGCACCAGAGCACAAAGGTTACAGCAAGGTTAAAGTAAAAGGAACACATCGAATATGGAGTCAGATTTGTTCTTCCCTACTACATTATGTCTTCAAATGGGGGAAGTTGATGATGTTTTACTTGCAAATCAGCATTTTGGTTGATTTACTATTCCATGTCCTATAGCACTTCATGCTCTGAGACATGTATTCACAAACTGTTAATCATCTCAGATATGCCAGGCACTATGATATATGCTTTAGATGTATTACCTATATTCCAGCAATCCGAGAAGACAGGGCTTATCAAACCCATTTAACAGATGAACAGCCTGAGGCTCATAGAGTTTGGTAATATGCCCTTGTTGACAGGGCTAGAATATAACAGAGCTGGGACTAGAAACGTGATCTGAATTCTTCTAGAACCAACTGTTCTGCTGTCATTTCTTCATAAAAATAGTGCTTTTTTTCCCACTTCTCTGCAAAGGCTTTTTTTTTTTTTTTTTAATAAATCAAGCAACATATACAAGTGGTCTGTTTGGAGACACTTTGGTCTATTTGCCCATGCCTGCACTTATGCCGCAAACTCTAAAATATTAAAAATCTAAGTTTCTAATCCACTTGGAATTGGAATTTGTGTTAATCCATTTGGAAATGAAATCTGTGTTGTGTGAGGGGCAGTTTTAGTCACATTTTGTGTTTAATGTGAATATCAAACTATTGCATTGTAATTTTTTATTAAAACACTGTTCTTCTCCCCCACTTCTCAATAGTAGCTAACTTTCAATAAATCAGGATATATACAATGAGTCTGTTTTGGAACATGCCTGTATCTATACCACAAGCTCTCATTACTGTGATATTTTCACAATTCTTAATGTTGTATCTTTCTTTTTCATGACTGTGTTGGCTATTCATAGACATTTGCAAGTCAATTTAAATTTTAGAATGACCTTGTCAAGGTTCACACACACACACACAGACATACATAAACGTTCACACACAAATTATGTGACTTTATTGAGAAACAGACATTATAGTTACTAGTAGATTAAATTTGGGGAAGATGAACATGTTTATGCTTACCTGGTGGCTCAGATAGTAAAGAACCTGCCTGCAATGCAGGAGACCTGGCTTTGATCCCTGGGTTGGGAAAATCCCCTGGAGAAGGGAATGGCTACCTACTCTAGTATTCTTGCCTGGAGAATTCCATGGACAGAGGAGCCTGATGGGCTACAGTCCATGGGGTCACAAAGAGTTGGACACAATTGAGTGACTAACACTAAATAACATGCTTTTAATATTGAATCTTCCATAGAAATACATATATTTTTCCATTTAGTTAGGATGTAAGCAATTTCAAGAAATATCTGTATAATTATTCTATGGAGTCCTTATACTTTTTATTATATTTATTTTTAAGAATGAGGTATTTATCATTATAGTTTAAAAGTTATTTTTATTTGAATTCACCTTAATACTGTTACAGAAAAAGGTGCATTTTTATATATTTATCTTATATCTAGCAATTTTGTTTAAAACCGTTTTATTACTTTAACAGTTTTTCATTAGTAGATTTACCTCCTACATGCTTTATTGATGTTTAATTATATTAGCATTGTTTTTGTTTTCTGATGCTTATCTCTTTGGTTAGCTCTGTTTCACATTACCTTCCTATATAGTATCTTTGTTAAAGACTAGGCTACCCACTCGTGTTCTTGGGCTTCCCTTGTGACTCAGCTGGTAAAGAATCCGCCTACACTGTGGGAGACCTGGGTTCGATCCCTGGGTTGGGAAGATCCCCTGGAGAAGGGAACAGCTACCTACTCCAGTATTCTGGTATGGAGAATTTCATGGATTGTATAGTCCATGGGGTCTATACACCCCATGGTGTATATATGCTATATACGCTCAGTCCGACACCACTGAGCGACATTCACTTTCAGAATAAAAATGATGATAGACATTTTTGCCTACTCAATATGAAAAGATCTCAAGGTTCCCACAGCCTAGCAAAAGCCATTATAAGAACTTCAAGCAAGACCAGCAGTCACGTCTGCTGAAACTGAGTGCGTGCGTACAATGCCCACTCCTGCTGGGTGACCCCGGAGGTTCTTGTCTGGAGTCACCGGATGTCACGCCCCCTGACATTCCGTCGCAGACGGCAAGACTGTGAGAGCTTGGATCGGAAGCGCGAAGTCCAGTAGTGGGGCCGCAGGTGCCACTAAGTATCAGGTGAGCCTGTAAATGAGTACCGAGGGGACCCCCTGCCCCAGAATGGAGGGTGCCCACCTAATGAGAACACCACCCGAACCCTGGTGGGGTTCCTGCCCAGGCAGGTTCAGGGCCGACCTATCACGCACTTCCTGTTTGGCCGTCTGATCGAGGTGGTGTCTTTGTGTGTGCAGGGCTGAGTCCCTGACCTACGGGTCCAAAAGCAAACGCCCCGAAGTAAATCTAGAGGTGACCCGCCCCCCGGCAGAATAGCAGACTCACTGATTCTCGGCAGGGCAATCGGCTGAGGAGACACCTGCCCACCTCATTCCTACCCCCATGTGCCCACCATGACCCCCAACACCCCACCCGCCAATACCACCCTACTCCCACCCCTCACCAGTGGGGGCAAAAGTGCTGCTGCTTTGCTCAGCCCTTGGAGTCTGAAGGAGTTGACTTTCTTTTAGGATTGACTGGCTTGATCACCTTGCAGTCCAAGGGACTCTCAAGAGTCATCTCCAGCACTGCACTCCAAAAGCATCAGTTCTCCAGCTCTCAGCCTTCTTTGTGGACAATCTTTCACATCTGTACATGAATACTGGAAAAAGCGTAACTCTGACTATATGAACCTTTTGTCAGCATACTGATGTCTCTGCTTTTTAATATGCTATCTAGGTTTATTACAGCTTTCCTTCCAAGGAGCAAGCATCTTTTAATTTCATGGTTGCAGTCACTGTCCACAGTGATTTCGGAGCACACGTATAATCAAAGCTATGGTTTTCCCAGTAGTCATGTAGAGATATGAGAGTTGTACCATAAAGAAGGCTGAGTGCTGAAGAATTGATGCTTTAGAACTGCAGTGCTGGAGAAGACTCTTGAGAGTCCTTTTCACTGCTAGGAGATCAAACCAGCCAGTCCTAAAGGAATTCAACCCTGAATATTCATTGAAAGGACTGATGCTGAAGCTGAAGTGCAATACTTTGACCACCTGATGCAAAGAGCCACCTCCTTGGGAAAGACCCTGATTCTGGGAAAGATTGAGGGCATGGGGAGAAAGGGGTATGCAGAGGATGAAATGGTTGGATGGCATCACTGACTCAAGGGACATGAGTTTGAGCAAACTGTGGGAGATAGTGAAGGACAGGGTATCCTGGCGTGCTGCAGTTCATGGGGTCGCAAAGAGTTGGACACAACTGAGTGACTGAACAGCAGCAACAATTCCAGAACAGCCCATTAACATCAAGCTCGTCTATTGCCCTGTGGCTAAGCATGTGAGATCTCTAGAAAGGTTGAGCATGTATCAGATAACTTCATCAGTTTTAGGAATTTGTGAGCCTTGTTCTAAAGAAGTGAAGTTGGTTCCATGTCCTGGCTATTATAAACAGTGCTGCAATGAACATTGGGGTACACATGTCTCTTTCAGTTTTGGTTTCCTCGGTGTGTATACCCAGGAGTGGGATTGCTGGGTCATATGGCAGCTCCGTTTCCATTTTTTTAAGGAATCTCCACACTGTTCTCCATAGTGGCTGTACTAGTTTGCATTCCCACCAACAGTGTAAGAGGGTTCCCTTTTCTAATTCTGGGAGGTGTGTCATAGAGGATCTTGCTGTGATTTATGTCAGAGAGTGTTTTGCCTATGTTCTCCTCTAGGAGTTTTATAGTTTCTGGTCTTATATTTAGATCTTTAATTCAGAAGAAGGATTCCCAAGTGCTTAAAGTATTCACAGTAAGAGCCCAGAGTTATCAGTGAGGAAACATTCACTCTCAGACACATGTGATCCCACAGTGTCCACAGATATTGTCATCCTAGGAGGTTGTGGACAGGGATATCCAGAGGAAATATTCCCTTGCTTCCTGTTTGGAAGTCATAAAAGAATGGGCATCTGGTCAGAAGAGGAGTCTTACACAGTGCCAAGAGCAATGTAGGAATTGAATGAGGACTAATGGGGCACACCATTCCAGTGTAGGTGTGATCTCCATGAACTTCACTCTGCCTCTGCATTTAGCCCTTGTAAGTCTGAGGAAAGAGTGGTCAGAATTCCTACATACTACTTTAGTCTTCAGAGGGCTCAGGAAGTGATTTGTGTTTATCTGAGTGGGGTCCTTGGGATTACCAAGGACAGAGTAGAAGGGGTTCCAGAAACTTAAGACACAGAATTAGAACGGAGAGCCTAAGTTACCCTAGGACGGGGTGGAGGGGCGGTGGTAACAAGGATACACTCTTAACCATCAGTCCAGGGAAGCAGACAGGATGGTATGCTGCTCCTCTTCCTTCTTGGGCTTTCAGTGAGGAGAGTGTTCGGATATACAGGGCTTAGCACATGAAGTGAGCAAAGGATGAGTCCCAAGGCCTGTTAAGACCAAGGTAAGGTCCCTAAATGAGGTTTGAGGGGCCTGCCAACCCCAGAACAGAGGGGTCCAGATTATCTTACCCATACTCTCAACACTGGTAAGCCTGCTGTGGTGACTGGGTAAGATTCCCCATCCTTTCTTTCTCAGTTGTCTCAGCGAATAGATCTCACTTTTTTGGGGGGCGGGCACAGATGGCCTTTGTTATCAGAAGGTGATGACTAAGGCCCTACTAGTTGCCAAAGTAAAGCCCCCGAGAAAGGACTGAGAGAACCTCCTGTCCCAGATGATAGGAGCCAAACATAAGTCATTTTAGATCTGCTGTCAGCTTTGTGAGGCCCCATGCAGGGCTATCAAACTGAAACATCACCCCATTTACTGCTTGGTGAATTCAGGGTTATGAAGATTGGTTTGTGAACACAATGTGGGATCCCATTACCTGTTATAAGTCAAGGAAAGTATCCTAATTGAGGCTTATGGGGATATCAACTCTAGAACCTTATGATCTGAACAAAGCTGTATTCATCGGTCATGTTTGGGAACTCTGCATGTCAGATCCTCTTAATACTTCCTCAGAGGTTGCAGGGGCATGACTCTCTAGTGTGAGGAGCAACTTCTGGTCATCAGAGGGAAGGATTCTCATACACTGTCAAGATTCAAAGTAAAGACATTTTTTTGAGCTAAGAGCTGACTATCTACTCGAACATAGATGGGACACTCTCATATACCTGTTGTGACTCTGTAGTCATTCCCAGGGATGTCCTAGACAAGGCTAGCCGGAAGTCTCATCAGCTCACTTCTAGGGAGGTGGCAGTCATGGTCTTGTCACGCGAGTGTATGCTCCTTGGTTTTTGTCTCATCACAACAAAGATTTGGAGTGATGGACATTAAAGCCCCCTCGGCGTGTCACAGCTCTCGGGTCTTGGACAGACTGTGTTATAGCTCTCAGGTCTCAAACGGACCATGTTATAGCTCTTAGACAAATCAGTGTTACAGCTCAGTGTTACAGCTCTATTTTATTTAGAAGATAGCAGGAAAATCCATTTTCGAGGTGTGAGGGCACGTCGATCCAAAGACGCGAAGAGAAGAGTGCCCCAGCGAGCCGGAGAGAGAGAGACCGAGCTTTGTCTCCTCTTTTTATATGTCCCTCCCGCCCCGGGCCTGTCCTATATAAATTGGGCCAGGAGTGCTGTTTGTTCTATCCGAGGTCCTTCCTTTGTTCTATTTTCTCGGGCTTTTCTCTTCCTTGTCTTTTAGCCACCGCCATTCTGGACTCCTTTTCCCTATTCTAACTACCTAACAGTGTGAAGGAGGTGGCTCAAATCAGGAGGCAGTACAATAGTCTGTGTGGAGACACAAGAGAAAGACACAGTGGAATCCAGCCCAGAACATAGGGTTGTCAAAGAGCCCCAGAACTTTACCAGCTTAGGGAACCTGGTCAAAGATCTCATGACAGCTTCCCTGCTTTCTTCCTTCTTGAGTGTTACAGACAGCTGATGTCCTTGATCTACGTCCTATATCATATGAGGTCAGCAAAGGAAGGAGGCCAGGGTCTGTCACAGTAAGGATGAAGAATAAGGTCTGAGGAGTCAATCCACCCAAGAAAAGAGGGAGCTCCACATTGTCTAGTTCTTATTATTGGCCTAAGGAAGACCTAGTAGAGGTAGTTATAAAGTGTACTTTCTCAGTTCATCCTGGGCTGACTCTGAATGATAGGGAACTCTTGTATGCAGACAGATTGGCACCAGTTTGCAGAGTGATCAAGTCTGAGGCCCTGCCAGTAGTCAAGGCAAAGACTCTGAATATTGAGGGAACACTGACCCCAGTAGAACAGGGATAACAGAGTTCAGCCTTGCACTGTTGTCAGTGCTGAGAGTCTGTGGGCAAGGATGTCAAATGGCTGTGTCCTCTAATTACCCCAATTAGATCTCAGTAGGTCAGGGCTTTGTTCTGAGTGGCAGTGTTATGGCAGCAGGCAGAGATCCCCAGACTTATGTAGATTCAAAGTAGCATAACCAAGTGAAACTAGGGGGACCACAACACCAACAGAGATAGCATCTACAATTTTAACTTTGTTGTCATCCCTGGGAAATCACAGAGATTCTGGAGAAGGTAGCTCAGCACATCCTCCTCAGTCATTTTAGGAGATGTAACATTAATTGGTCTTAGGAGAATAGCCTCATATTTAAGCATGGTAGAAGAGATCCTGGCACTGGCCAAGGTAATGAAACTGAGTGAGGACCGATGGAACCACCCTTTTCAGAAAGGTAATGGTGCTACAGAGACACGATACACCTGCCTATGTGATCCCTGAGAATTTTTAGCCTGTGTTGACTGCCTGGTCCCTGAGGAACATTAACATTCCTCCTTCGTGAGGGACGCAGCAGCCAGGAGACCTGTGAGACCCTTACAGCACTGTTAGCAAAAAAGTCCATTGAAGGCAACTCTTATCTGAGCCACCGCAGTTGAGTATACCAACTGAATCCACTCATATCTGCCTTCTTTCCCTTAGGTGGTGATTTTCCATTGCCCACACTGCTGCCAAATGCCACCCGTAAGAATCAAACTATCTAAGCGTTTTAAGAGTGCACGGCGTGCACAGAATCAATCCCTTCAAGCCTTCACTCAGTCCCAGGACCTGCAGATTGCACAGATCTCGAGGGCTCTGGAGGAGACCCATCTCTTCTCCTACCTTCAGATGCCTGGAAATTTGAAGGAGGCTCCTGGTGGTGATAAACCCAATACTCCTGAGGATCCTCATGGTTTCTCCGCATCTTCTATTGGCATCACAGCCACTGCATCCAGTAAATCAAGTGAGGTCCCCATGAATCAAGATGAGGAGAATAGTCCAAGCACCTCAGAGGCTGTGCCAGGCACCTCAGAGGCTGTGCCAGATTTCATGAATGTGCCTGTGGGTGCTCTCGATAGTAAAATAGCTATGTTGGTGAATGTCCTGCTGTCCAAGTATCGAATGAAAGAGCCAGTAACAAAAGCAGATATGCTCAAGGTTGTCGTCAGCGATTGTGAAGTCCACTTCCCTGAGATCCTTCTGAGAGCCTCTGAGCACCTGGAGATGCTCTTTGGCCTTGATCTGAAGGAAGTGGATCCCACCAACCACTGCTATGGCCTTTTCATTAAGTCAGGCCTCACCTATGATGGCATGATGCATGGTGAAGCAGGCGTGCCCAAGACCGGCATCCTGTTACTTATCCTGGGTGTGATCTTCATGAAGAGCAACTGTGCCACCGAAGAAGAAGTTTGGGAAGTTCTGAATGTGACCGGGCTATATTCTGGGATGAAGCACTTCATCTTTGGGGAGCCCAGGCAGCTCATCACCAAAGATTTCGTGAGGGAAGGATACCTAGAGTTCCGGCAGGTGGCCAACGCTGATCATGTGCAATTTGAGTTCCTGTGGGGCCCCAGAGCTCATGCCGAAACCACCAAGATGAAGGTCCTAAAGTTTATTGCCAAGATTCATGGGACTGACCCAAGTTCTTTCCCATCTCAGTATGAGGAGGCTTTGCAAGATGAAAACGAGAAAGCTCAGGCCAGAATTTCAGCCAAGGGTCTCCGCCACTGCAAGTTCTAATGTAGAGACTAGCAGCTGCTTCCTCAACTAGGGGAGTCAGGAATAGTTTCTTCATGCATTGTTCAAAGAAGCAGTTTGTGTTCGTATAATTTAGATTTGAGGTGGGGCTGAAAGGAGAATAGTGTATATGACCGTGTGTGCCTATTTTGTATGTGTAACTTGAATATTCTTTTTTGATATATGCATTGTTCAAATGATTCTTTTAATAAAGGTTTAATTGCTTTCAAAACTTTATGATTATTGATGATGCATTTCATGCTATAATAAGATTTAATTTTAAGAGCTCTGTTGTTTTAGAAATTAATTGTGAATCTATCCATTTTGTCATCTGGAACAAGATAACATGATACTGCTGTAGGCGTGTGTGTATGTGTGCTAAGTCACTTCATTTGTGTCTGACTGTTTGCGACCCTATGGGCTGTAGCCCACTAGGCTCCTTTGTCCATGGGATTCTCCAGATAAGATTACTAGAATGGGTTGCTGTGCCCTCTTCCAGGGGATCTTCCAGACCAAGGATCAAAGCCAAGTCTCCTGCATCTCCTGCATTTCAGATAGATTCTTTATCTGCTGAGCCACCAGGGAAGCCCACTGCTATAGGCATTTCCTTGCAAATGTGAAAGAAATTGGCTTTAAGATAGATGAAATCCAAAGAAAAAAAGTTACTGAAATATTAGTTCTCTTATCTTTTCAATGTTTATTTTATAAAATTAAATGATAAGTACAATGAATTTGCCTCATTCTTTCAAGAATGTATATGAAATGTTTAGTTGCTAACTTGTGTCTGACCCTTTTGCAACCCTGTGAACAGTAGCCCGCCAGGCTAACTCTGTCCATGGAATTTCCCAGGCAAGAATACTAGAGTGGGTTGCCGTTTCTTTCTCCAGGGAATCTTCCTGACCCAGGGATTGAACCTACTTCTCCTGTGTTGAAGGTGGATGTTTTTATTTCTGAGCCACTGGGGAAGCCCAGTTAGCAGTGTGGTGGTGGGGGGGGGCAATTAGGGGTGGAGGATTAAGAGACACAAAGTGTTGGCTGTAAGATAGGATCAAGGATGGATTGTACAACATAGGGAATACAGCCAATACTTTGTAATAACTGAAAATGGAAAGTAGCCTTTAAAATTGGATAAAATTTTTTTCAATGGAAATACAATCTTCCTAAAAAGTTTAAAAATAATAGGACGGTATAATTTTTAAAAATACATAAATAAAAAATAGATAATATTGAAGGATGGGGGAAAAAGAAATTTTTAAGTCATTCCGTGGTAATTAATTTTACATGAAACTGAATGGTGGGTCAGATGAGGCTGATGGCTTCATGAACAGGAACAAAACCCTCAGATGATGTGTTTCAAGTGATAAAATGACAATGTCAAGAGATGTAAAGTGCTGTTAGCTGTTACTTTTTGATCTCAGGTAAACCAGAGAGAAATTCTCACTTGGATCAGGAATGGAATGTGATCTGCATTCTTGTCCCAGTGCATCTGAACTCATGCACAAACTTAAGTTTTTTGTTTGTTTGTTTGTTTGTTTTGTATATGTCACCTCTAAGTTTCTGAGAAATACAGAAGATACTCCCTTGAGATTAGACACAGAAGCCACAGGGCTAACAGTTGGCCATCACCTAGGAGAGCCAGCACTCACTCCATCAAAGAAGAATTTAATCAAGCTGTCTTCAGTGTAATTTGGCAAGGGATTTGAGAGCTAAAGTTTTGGTCAGGTTGAAATTAATGTTAAAGTGGGGGAAGGGTTGCATGGGAGGTATAGAGGAGACAAAAATAATTTTCCCTGTCCCCTTTTAAGTTCTTGGCTGAAACTTCCTTGTAATAAAAGGAGAGATTAATAGGGGAAAAACAAATTAATTTTGTATATATGGGAACACCACAAAAAATGAGACTTCAAGAAGTGACTCAAGCAGGAAGCTTTTAGACGAATTTGTGAAGCATTGACGTGACAAAGGCGTTTGGACTAAGTGTAGTAAATGGCCAAGTAGTAACAATGTTTGTTTATACAGTCTTTTTGGCTCTCAGTTCTCTGTCTCTACTGATACAGATATCTTTTACTGTCCTGGTACAGGGAGAGTACATTTCATATTGGAGATTTATCTCATACTTTCAGGGGGACAAAGGAGGGCCAACTATTTCTCAAATACCTTCAATTCAAAATAACCAATATGCCAAAGTGGAATTTTGAGGGTGAAATTTGGTAGTGCCCCTTTATCCTGGTTGTTTAAATTTTATTTGTGCCAGATCTTAGTTGCGGCACGTGGGATCTTTAGATTGTGGCATACGGGATCTTTAATTGCAACATGGGAACTCTTAACTGCAGCATGCACAATCTAATTTCATGACCAGGGATCAGACCCAGATTCTCTGCCCTGGGATTGCAGAGTCTTAGCCACTGGACCACCAGGGAAGGCCCCTGGTTGTGCTTTTTAATATTTCACTTACCCACAGTCAACTGTGGTCCTAACTATTAAAATATAAATGCAAAATTTAAGAAATACATGATTCACAAAATTTAAATTGCTCACAGTTCTGAGTATTGTGATTAAATCTCATTCTGTCCTGCTCCATCCTCCTGGGACAGGATCCCCTTTGTGCAGCATATTACTCCTGTTAGTCACATAGTAGACTCATAGACTCTGTTATCCCATTGACTACTGAAGTTTCAGAGAGCTCGTGTTCAAATAACCCTTATTTTGTTTAGTAGCCCAAAGTACAAGATTAGTGATGCTGGCTGGTTTGTGCCTGGTTTGTGAGTTGAACTTTATTATGGGCATGAATGGGAAGAAACATTACATAATTTCAGTCATCCACTGTAGGTAACACACAGAGAAGGAAGGACTAATGTATTATGAAGCCCTACAAATGGTGACTGGGAGAGAGGGAAGAGGTTCATCTTTGACACAAATTCTAGGAAATTTCAATTACATCTAGCTGGGAAGACAACCGGTTGTCTAAAAAACAACCGACTGATTTGGTCTGATTTGACATACTATATCCCATAGCACTTTATGTTTTCTGAGAAAGCCTATACCTAGACAATGCACACTCATACACACACACGCACAAAGACAGGTAGGGGGTTAGGATTTGCAGTCAACTTAGTCACAGCAATAACTCTCATCCATCAAAGCCCTATGATACGCCAGGCACTGTGCCATGTGTTTTGTATACTTCATACACATTACGAAAGTCTTATAAAATGGAATTATAAAGCCAAATTCACATATGAAGATTCTCAGGCTCAAAGAGCCTGTGATTTTTTTCTGACTTCATGTATCTAGTTTGTGACAGCTGCCACTAGACCTCTTACCAGAATTCATCCAGAGCAGATTCTGCTCCACTCTCCCCAGCCTGAAGCAGATCTTCTGCCTCTTACCTCTCTCCTCACTACCCCTTAGTGCCTCTCAGAATAAAGAAAGAAGAATGTAGTAGCCAGGAACTTAAAGTAAATTTAAAGAATAAAGATTGAAACAAGAAACAAAATTTGAGGATTGTCTGTGCGCTTCGTCTACCTAGGATCTTCTATCCCAGCCCTTCAGAGGGTTCCTTGAGAGCCCACTCTGCCCAGAGGCTAGCATTTTATCAGCTCCGGTTCTCTCTGCAATACAGTGTCCAACCCCGTTGTCCAAACTGAAACCTGACCTGCTGGCCAGTTTTTCAGTCCTCCTCTGTAAGCTATACCTGTTTCCAGTAGAACAAACAGGGCAAAATTCACCAGAACAAATAAAATACAATTACAATGACTGTTCTGTTCTTGTCTACTCATTCTATCATCCATATCATTTCCAGGTCAGTTTTTCTGTTTGTTTTAGAATACATCTATAATTTTATTACAAAACTGTTCTTTTGGCATTAGTTGGTTACAGTGAGAGCACGATGCTGTGAGTGTGGCGGAGCAGCTCTGACCTAACAACTGCATCCCCTGCTTTCTGAACCAGAAGGTAAGTTACTTATATCTACATACCTGCAAACATTAACGCTGCACATCCTGACACATAAACCATTCAGGGAGGAGTTGATGCTAAGTGGTTAGAGTAAATGTTGATAAGACTACAAAAGTTCCTTTATGGGACTTTCTGCTTCCTCTTCCTCCCCAAAATTCTCTGCTTAAGAAAAAAAAAATGCAGTTACTTGGAACTAGTCTGAATAGCAGCCACATCCAAGGAGCACGCACACAGTTCCTGTTAAAAAGCAGTACGTGTGTGCTGTATGTTTTACACCACAGGCAAAAGAAATGATCTCTCTAGTTTTTAACTCCTTCATTAGAGTCTCTTAAAAAAATAAAAGCATCCCATCAAGTTGGTCATGATGGTGTTATTGCTGTACATTTGTCGGTGGGTCACTTTCTGTGCTGTTTACTTTGAAGGGATCTTCCAATGTATCTCCAATATTCCTTTCTTATAGTGTCCTTTTCTTTAGCTAGGATTTCACATAATCCTAATGCATTATTAAGAATGTCCTCCTTGTTGTTACATTGATTTTCTAGCATGTCTTCATAGATATCCACGAGAAAGGCAATTAGGTAGGGGGAGCTGTGACTTGGTTGTAAGTCAAGTAATTGATTTAACAGATTGGGATATTTGAAAAGACCACGATCCTGCAAAATCCTTTTCAAATAATTCCACACACTTTCATTATGTGGGACTAGTTTGATCATTTCCAAAGTGTACTGAACTTCTCTCTCCAATATAGCATGATCATTGTGTTAGAAATTACAAAATATCTTTGGTTCCAGACAGAGTTATTTCTCACGTGCTCTTTGAGAAGTTGGTCTACATACTGCAGCTCATTATCCCAAAGTTTAAATTCCTGAATATCCCACAGTCTGGTGTTGCCAGGTGTGGTAATTCTTTGCATGTTGAGTAAGAATACCAGCAAAAATTCCAGCTCCTGTGATGGGTCTCTCAGCCATTCCACCAGCACTCCCCTATGATGCCAAACTTGACAGTTTTTGGGCTGCTTCTCAATTATTGCCGAGATGTAGTTCATTTCCTCATGTAGATCCTTCTGGAGTGACTTTAAGAGAACTCTCCAGAAATGCAACACTGTGTAATTGGCTGAATTTAACTCAATAGCATTTCTGGTTAATTTAAAAGCCCATTCACTTCTCTCGTCGCGCTGCAGGACAGCCCGGAAATAATTATAGACGTCCTGAAATTTCTCACTGTAAATGATCTGGACCACTGGATTGGGGCCATCATTCTGCGGCACTGGATCTATATCAGCC